AAGTTGCAAAAAAATACAAATATATTCTTAATTTAAGAGAATATTTCAAAAAGCATTATGTAAAAACGGAAATATCCTTATTCATCAAGAATATTTATTAAGGTGACTTTTTTTCGGTGGCAATATTAAATGATGAAACTAATCTTCATATTTTTAATTTTAATAATAATGTTAATATGATTTTATATGATCGGTTCGCATTTTCGCGAAGAATATCGCCCCGGCATTCTTTAGAAAATTTCTCGAATCTATATATGTTATTAATCCATTCAAGATCTCCCTTTGTGAAACGTTGCGCAACCGTCGCGTCATTGTCATAAACGTCGTCGTTGCCTTTAGTCCAATTTGCGTCAACTATGCGGCGTAATTTAATTCAAGGAGCAATTTAAAAAAGTTTCGCCCGGTGGCATAAAGCGAAACGAGTCCGTGGAAGAAGGAGGCGATCCACCATCACCGCCATCGCCACCCGGCAGCAGCAGACCACGGCTTGAAAGTAATGAGTGGCCGTTGGCAGTTTCTCTCTTCCCTCGAGTCGCTGACCCTTCCTGGCGTGGATATGCCAAATCGGAAGGGTTTCTCCCGAAAATTATGAAGTTGTTTTCCCGGAAACTCCGCCGCGCTCCTTTGCGTGTTTTTCGCTCGCTCGCGGAATAAGCGACGGGCTGGAAGCGGAAACCTGGGGGTTCGAGGGTGGCACGCGTCGCGTCGGCCAGAAATTTATGAGCCGGCTACGACTTCTTTGGAACACGCCCCGGGGATAAATTATGTCCTCCCCGAGGGCCACCATTGCTTCTAGATGTTGCGCCGGTATATATATATATATATATATATATATATACGTATACAAATCTCTCTGAGAAAAGTCTCGATCTGAAGGGATAACTTACGATTACTGCCGCGATTTCGCGATCGCGCCTTATTTCCGAGATCGGACTCGCCTACCCTATTACGCGTCCAATTCACTGTCGTCTAATCCGGTTAATTGAATTATTTTTCTTGATATAAACGTAGCCGAGAATATCCCCGTACGCGATATTATACAATTCGGTACTCTGCGCGTGTAATATTCTGCTTCGTATTCGCGAGTTTCGGCGAATTACATCTGCATTTTAACGTGAAATTTGCTCGATAAATTTCCACGCTCGCGGAATAATAAAGGTTGAAAATTAGATCCTCTATATCCGTAATAATTCTTTATATATAAGATACTTAGATTTTATATATTAAAAAATTTATCAGGAACGCAGCTATAAATATCGAGATTAAAATCTGAAGAGAAAATTTTCTGCCAGTTATATTAATCGCAGGAAAATTGAACAACGTTTTACTTTGATTAAACGATTTACTGAAGAATCTGTTTATATGCTGATATACATTTTGCTTCCAAGCTTTACTAACTTATATTAACGATAAAATTACAGAAGATTAATTAAACTGGCTGGGCGGCAGTTTCATTTTCAGAAGACAAATTTTCTTTCTCGTCGTAATAATGCAATTTACCGCTCTTTAAAAAGCGTAATCTTTGATTAAGATTACAAGTAATTAATCATTCAGCTTCAATGTTAATTACATTACACTATATACTATTACATGCACAAATATAATGAAAATTAAATATCGTAATAATCCGAGTATATAATATATCTGTCAAATATTTTTATCCTATAAATAGTCGAAAAACGAAACAAAAATGAAAGCTAAATAAATTCATAAAATTTTGAACTCGCGCGAGCGCTTAAACTCGGAAAGCGGATAAATTTTAATCAAGTATAGTATTATCGATTAGCGTTAATTCTAGCCGATACAGGACATTTGGATGTAGGGTATTAACGAAGCCGACCAAGCCGGCAACGTGCGTAGAAAATGAAAGCGGGGCGATAACGATAGAGAGAAGCTCTCTCTCTCCAGCCGAGATCCAGTCTCGCATCAATAACGTTATATATTCATTATACACGTAACACCTAAAATACGACGCGATATCGAAAGCACTACGACGGGACACGTCAATTTTATCGCGTTCCACTCCGTATTAATTAAACTTAATTCAATCTTTCCTTCGTCGCCCACGGACGAGACAGGAAAGTTTTCTGTCGCGCGAAAACTGGGGTGAACTTTTAAGGTACGAAAGTTTCGAGCTCGTGATATAATTAACGAAACTGCGCCGATGTCGCGTGTAGAAAATTTCGAAGTCTCGCTATCATCCCCGGCACGTAGGCGGCCTTTCATCGCGCTTCGCGATTGGGGACTCTCTCTCTGTGCACCCCATCTCGATCGATACTTCTGAATTTCGCTTTCGGATTCTTCGCGTGACGTGTGCTCGCGCGATACGCTCGATTGTTAGCCAAGAACAAAAGAGCCGCATCGACGGGAAGGGGTGGTTGTGGGGTTGGGGGTGGGTGGTTCGTTATGACAGTTCGTTAGCCCCGTAAATTGGCTAACTCGCCGTTAATGGGCGGTTACCAATTATCGAATCGATTACGTCGGTAAATTATCTGGTATTCATTAGTTAACTCGAATTTTCTGCTGCGCGCGCATATATATATGGCTCGGAAAACGGGTCGACACAATCCATTAATGCGAAAATAAAGTCTGTTACGCCGCGTACAATCCAATAACGTTTTCATCTAATTATAAAACTATTACATTGGACGGATTATTCTTGGTCGGCCCTTAACCCCTTTCTCTCTCTCTCTCTCTCTCTCTCAGCTCGGCTCGGCTCGGTCGTGTCGTTGCATCATTTGTCTTCATTGCTGCGCGAAACCAGTAAATTGTACATTAACAGCGCAAGTGCTAAATTAGTACTATCTACCAGTGAAAGGATTATCCGGTAGAACACAATAACGTTTCGTATCTGATAATTAGAATATTCATATTCGCACAAATATCTTTTTTAGCATATCTCGATAGTACTGGAATTTTCATTCATTCATTGAATTTTCATTTGTAGAGTTTTTATTTTCTGCACTTTAGTACGATCTAAAAATGTTTATTAATGAAATATCGAAAATAAATTATAACATCTCTCTTATAAATACGAGAAATTGTCGTATAAAACATCTATATGTTGACAGAATGTAAAGCTTAAAGACAATACAATCTGCTATTTTAGCATGCTATGCATTGATGTTTATATCTATTAGAACCAAATGATCTCGAATGTTAAATACAAGAGGAGATACCCAACTATCATCGATATTGATGAATCTAGCGAATTTGACGAGCATTTTTGCACAACTCAAACTGTTTGTTATGCACATATTGTTTACTATTTTAACAGGAGAAATAGACGGTCTATATATATATATATATATATATATGTATATGGTTGAAAGTTGGTTTGGGATTATTTAGCAAATATTCATACATATTTGAATAGCATGTGTGTTCCGGTCTTACAGAAAAAGAGAAGCGAAAAACAATATCTACCGGTTACTATATATATTAATGAATCAAATATTTACCATTTACCATCAAACTCTATTATTGATAGTTTGATCGCTTCTATCATAACATGGCTATTAACAGTTAAAATAAACGAACGAAAATAATTGATCTGGAAATAGCATATTGCGGCGTTAGTCTCGGTACAATATAAATAATAAATTATTTTACACTCGTCGAATATTTATTTTATCGCGACTTTATGAGCGAAACATGTTTTCCATTTCCCAAAATCTGTTAAAAAAATCAGACATGGCCTTACCATTGGCAGATAGCATATTTCTCTTTTTTCTTTCTTTTTTTTTTTTTTGAATTGGAGTGCATCTCCAATAAATTTGATATCCGCGCTACCTCTTTACGATGTGACAGGATATGAGAGAAATCTATCGGTACGATCGACGAGAGAAGCCTCGGCGGTTTATTTCCGCAATAAAATCATTTTATCGCGTTCAGAACAGAAGTATGGCATGTCGATATCGTTTCTTTTTTTTGCGATTGGAAGGATACATTGGATATAAAAATTTAGGTACGACTAAAACTACGGCGAGGAGGACAGCCCAATGTCGCCGGGATATAATTTTCAAAGAAATGCACTAAATCCTTTGAATATTTCCGTATAAAGAAAATGTGTATCATACATGTACATACTTACTTTATTATTCGCGGGGTATTTCTGATGCTGCATAAATGGAATTTCGATATAAAGTGTCTCAGTTTTATCGTTTAACAATACCGGCGCAGCCTCCATACCAGACTACTTCTTTTATCGATATTCCATTTTACTTTTATTTACTATGAATCCCACTTTAAACATCCGATACACTATTGGATTGAAATTGTCAAAATACACGTTGACGGCTATATCTTATGCGAGTGGCGTTTGCGTCTAAATATTTGCTCTTGCAAGAAAAGTGAAAGAAAGGCCGCATAAAGTATCAGCTACCGACGAAGCGGTAAAAGAAAGATAAAGTAAGAAGGAAAATTTATTCCATTTTAAAGAACACGTTAACTCCGAAGGGGTACTTATATATATATATATATAGCTTTCTAAGAATAATGCGTACCTAAGCAAAGTTTGCAAAAATTCCACATTTCTTTTCAATCCTTCATAAAAAGTCCAAAAAAGACGATTAATTCAATATATATCTATAGATTGATGCAATTTAGATAGTATTTCGAAATAAATGCAAAATGTGTGTATGACATATTCATAAAATGCTTGTACTATCACAAAAAATTATAATTATTCATATGATAATACCTGTATCACACAGTACTGTAATTGCAAGAATCCGCTATTTTTCCTTTATTGAGAATTCTATCTATATGCAAATATTTGAAAAATCTCTGGATAAAATGTAATATAAAATTTTTAACAAATATTCACGTATATAGTGTCATAAATAAATAAAATAATATGCTGTCCATCTATTTTGATTTTCATGGACGAAACAAAACGGTCAATCTCTATACGAATAATAGAGATTTTTTAAATTCTTGCAAAATTTGAATTTCTTCGAATATTAAATATATACGAAAAATTATTGGTATGCTTTCAGGTACAAAGTGGAAGTGACCGGTAAATCTTTACCAGTGCTGACGAATCTTGATAAAGGTCGATATGGCGTACTGATCTTTGAAAATCTAAATAAGTATCTGCAGATGGATAAATGGAATCGCGAGCTACTGGACAAATACTGCAGGGAATATTCAGTTGGCATCGTGGGTTTTGCTCCTCCTGGAGAAGAGAGCCTAGTTGGTGCTCAGCTTAAGGGCTTTCCACTTTTTATACATACAAATCTTAGATTGAAGGTCAGTTTCCAACATTATATTCAAACTTTATAATATGTATATTTTTACACGCGTATTATAATATCGAAAAATTTATTTCCATAAATGATATATATTTTTGAATTATTTAATTTTTATGTGCTTTTCTTTGGTTTAATTTTTAATACATATGTTTATTTATTTATTTATATGTGACAAAAATAGAATCAATATTGCTTTAAAATTTAATCTAATTTTGTTTTAATTTTGTTATTAAGAACGAAATAGAATGTCACTTCTCTCTTTTATTGCGTAATAAAAAGTGTCTCTTCCCTTTACAATCAATATCAGAAATTACCTAAAAAGCCATGATGATAGGAAAAGTCTGGGTGGCAATCTTCATAGCCGCAATCAAGTTTATATCGCGGAAACTGGTCTCGAAACGAAAAGGAAACCTCGTAAAAGAGAGTAATAAAAAGCGCGGCTTCCACAGTATTATAGTCTGACTGCAGTAATAAGGCAGTCGATATTGTACCTACGTTTCGTTCACGAAAAGCACTATTGCGCCGAATATTTTCGTGTTAATTTATATGCTCGTATTCTTGAATCATCTTAATAGTTTGATATTATTAGATACTTAATTTTACGATATCAACCTTTCCCGCACTTTCCTGTTACTGTAATGTTCGTAACGCAAAGTAAGTTACAATCTTCTTAAAACTTTGGAATATCGTGCCTTGGACGCGTGGCATATCTTCTGAGTAACGATCATGCTACTCTTAAAGAGACTTTAAGAAAAAAAAGTAGTCTATGCTCATCGAGCACAATATTACACGTAATATCTCTCTTTAAAAAACCATAATGTGCAATTTCATCAATCTTCTCGACATGTTCCAGTGAATATTTATGTGGAAAAAAGGAAGAAACGGCTAATTTGATTTTTAACATAAATTATATTAAAACGAGATTATATTCAGAGCACGCGGTGAAAAAAAAACATAAACCCTAGAATACTTTTTAAACAATTTTTTTCGATTTATTTTTCTCAAACTATATTTATGAATATATATGTATAATAAATTTAAATAATTTTCCCGATAGTTATCACATCGTGTAGTCTCATATTTTATCAAAAGCGTTATTGCCTTATTCTGAATATACATAAAATCGTGATCTACTCTTACACAGCATTGGTTCGAGCAATTTCCTTTTAACAAAGCGCTAAAATAACGCGCGTGATGACATTCGAAAATTTGATTTCCTCTCCGAAAAAAAAAGCGAAGGAACGACGAGCGGAACTTTTGTGCGGGCCATATATAGAATCAGGTTTTTCTTCCCTCAGGATGCTCAGCTGAATGCGGCGTCTCCCATTCTTCGATTAACCAGAGCAGGGGAAACGGCCTGGGGACCACTTCCTGGCGGTGACTGGACTATTTTTCAGGCCAATCACAGCACCTACGAGCCGCTCGCTTGGGCGCATCGAGACAGTCTGGACTATCCGGCCAACAAAAGTCCCCTAGCCACCGTCGTCCAGGTGAGTCGTCGTGCACTTTACTTTGCCGGACATTCCGGTCACGTATCTCTTCTCGGACAAGTCGGACGACTGCGGAATTAATGCACCGTCTCTCTCGCGTCCATACGTATTACGACGATGGAGTCGAAACGTTTAAATTATTTTCTTTCGCGCGCATTGGACTCGACACGTTCCAAAAATTTGATAATACAAATAATACTGCGAGTTTTTCGGTTAAATTTTAAGATATTTTTCGTGCCGAAAATCAGCTGGCAAAGAGAGGTCGTAGAACTCATATCATATTAAAACTTGTATCATAATTAAAGCAAACATACCACCTTTAAACAGCAACTTTGAGAAGGTCCCTATTGGTTTCTACGTAGGGATGTATTAAGCTTCCAGCGCATCCTTTGGGAATCCCTTATTAACTCACGCAACGCTTTGTACACTTGGCTCTTATTTTCTCGGATAATTTCCAGAAATAAAAATGCGCAAATTTTTGCAGAACGAAGTTCTTCGTTCTAGAAGGACAAATCTTCATAAAAATGATAAAGGAAAAAAATAATTCGCGAAATATATAATTGCATTCGACGTTTACGTAGATACATGCAATTTGATAATTTTTTTCCGTCTTGATATTGTTAACAAATTCAAAATAATCAGCATAAACGAAATAATTGCGACGCGAGCCTAAGACACATCGTTTATGCACTTATGATTTTTTTGTTTCTTACGCGAAAAAGAAGGTCCCTCGGTTTTATAGGCATTTTGAAAGAGTGGTTTCTTACTCTTACGGTTCTCGACAGCGATGTCGGAAAAGAAAGCTATGGCTAGAAAGGAATTTCTCGGATACACCACTTCACTTTGCGGTTGCATGTAACGAAGAGAAGAAAAGAAGAAAGGCGACTGGTAGGAAACAAGAAGCTGAATGGCTGTGTAAGAGTCGTCGGCTCGCAAGGGGTAAAACAAAAGAAGGGTTTGGAACAATACGCACAGGATGATTTTATCCCGCACTTGTACCGGTGAGAATAATCCTGTCGATGAGAGAGGAATCTCCTACAAACTCTCTCAAATGTCGCGCGATAAAAAGCACGAGCGAGTTTCATCCTTTTTTCCTTAAATTAATCTTAATTGATGTGATAAGTGATCTTATATGTTTCAACAAGTAAATTCTCAAATTTTATTACGTGCCATTATTATCTAACGTAACTTTGCATCTTTTTATTATTTTCAGTATTGATAAAATTTAAATCCAAGAATATATCTTTAAGGATATCTTTTCCAGATATCTTTTCTACACTTCTATTTTTTTAGTTTTTTTTTTCATCTCTCTAATCAATTTGATACTTTGTTAATGAAAGCAAATTGAAACATTAAAAGGAATATAAAATTTTTAATACTTTGTTTATTTTAATAATTTAAATACATTATTCTTCCCTCTGAGATATTATATTTATCTTTTTTTCATTATGAAGGTTTCTACGATCTCGTAAAAACGCGATTTTTTAACTGCGCTTATTACTAATTAATTTCGTATTAATGGGAATACGTACGTACTTCTCTCATTCGCCTTCCTGAATTTTTCCCTTCCGTTTCTCTCATCCTGACGATTCTTCCTGCTCTGTCAGTCGAGCCAGCGGCGGTGCCGGAAAACGAAAACAAATGTGGAATTTCCGCGATACGGCTCGTGGCTACGTATACGAAGGTGACCTGAAAGGAAAGAGAAGAGAATGAAGCCAGGAGAAAGAAGAGAGAGAGAGAGAGAGAGAAAAAAGAAAGAAAGGATTCGCTGTTAACGGAGGTAAACTGAAACAATTCGTAAAGCCGTCCCCGGCCAGCGTTTACATTCATGCAGGAATTCGCAACTGCAAGATTCCGGACATGAAAGAGAGAGATAGGGAGATGGAATGACAGTGGTACATGAAAAACGCGCGCGAACATAAATGCTAGAAGAGAAGAGGAGGGTGCCGAATGACCAAATTATGGATGATATAAAGAAAACGGCACTCATCCGACAGACAGACAGACATGTGCGAGATATCGTCCGATATAACGAAGAGCGCGAATATATACGTTGTATCGTTGTCGATGTTTTGCTGTCCCGGTGCAATGTTTTTCCACCAAGCACATCTCGCACTCGACCATTTTATCTCTGTACCAGCGCGACTACACGTGAGAGATGCGTAAAGTTTTTTTTATCAACTTTTCCGTTTTCGTGAGAGATCAATTGACAGCGTATCTATTTAATTTTACATCATCTCGCCTGCTTTTTTTTAGGAATAGAAAAAGAGCATTACTCATTTTTCTCTCATAATTAAAAATTCAAAAGATCGTGAATTTATATCCATCTTCTTATAGCTCAGAAAAATATTGCAAATTTTTAGTAATTAAAGATCGATTCATTAAGCAACGGATACAAATTTCGCGAATATAGCGAATTAAAACAGACAAATCCTGAAATGATAAAAATGTCTCGCAGCACATAGTAAATTGAATTTTCCTATTACGTAGCAGAGCTATTGTATGTGTGCGCAAAAATGCAACGATCTCATCGTCAGTTGAATTCTTCGTTTAATTGAACGTTGAATTTCGCCCATCTTAAATATTCAAAGAAAAAAAAAAGACTTTGATGCCTTTCATCGTGATGGTACCCGCAATTCAATATAATTTATTTCGCGATTATCCGAAAAATTTCGCGATTGTGTTCGTCATTCACTGTCGCGTCCTTAACGTGTAATCTGCTCAATCCCCGAAAGGAAATAAATTAGCGGTTCCAATGGTAGCAAATGAAGCGCATCGTACAGTCGCTCATTAATCGAATACGCCTACGGCTAATTGGTTTCTGATTTAATCACCTGGCTACCTGCGCGATCCGTGCATCTATCCCGACATCCAGCTATCTCGCGCGATAGAATTATCCGTGTGAGATTATTATTGTTGTTTACTGCTAACAAGCTTGCGATTCACAGCCGATTCTGTCGGAGTTGCTGGAGAGTTTCTGTCAAACAATATAATTAGCTTATTGGACGCTCGCGATTATTGCCGTACTCGTTCATTGTGAGAACAATAAAAATAACGATGTTCGTTAACGCGCAATGATTAAGTTGACTATGCGTTTACGTGTACAGAATGAGGAACTTTTGAACATTTGTAGATATAAAAACAACACAAGTGCGCGCCATGCTTTGATTTTAATTTTATATTAAAAAGAATATTAAAAAAAATAATATAAAATTTATTTAAACACGATTCATATTTTTTGACAGAACTCAGCTGATTAAAGCGTAATTTACTAATTAAATTTTAAAATAATAATATGATAAAAAATTAAAATAGTAATATATTATAAATAATATATTATAATACCTTATTCTCGATTAATTTTTTTTTATAGAAATCAGCTGATAACTGTCTAAAATATTAATTGAGTATTATAACATATTATTTTAAACATTTTATTTTAATTTTTTATAATAATTATTTTAAAAATTAATTATTAAATTAACTTTTTAATCAGCTGATTTCTCCCAAAAAATTCGACTTAGTATGTCTCTTTTACAAAGAGATTGAAACGTCAGCTAAGAACAACAACTGTTTTGTTGCTGCAATATGGAGGAAGAAATTTGATCATAATTAGATCGTTGCATTATTGAACATTTCTATTCCTATAGTTACAGATTAAACGCAGCAAGGCATTTATGAATCATAAACATTAGCATGTATATTGTACTGCGATAAAGATAGACTAGCGAATAAAATTTTTAATATTTAAGAAAAAAAGAGAAGTCTTAATTTATAAAATATATTTATTTAACAGGATCATGGCAGATACGACGGAATTCAAAGAGTTCTTTTCGGCGGTGGTCTGAGATTTTGGCTGCACAAATTACTACTACTGGATTCGTTGTCTTATTTGTCGCACGGACAATTAAGTCTGAGTTTGAATCGCATGATCCTGGTGGACATTGACGATATATTCGTCGGCGAAAAAAGCACCAGATTAAAAAAGGACGATGTAATGGCATTATTGGCCACTCAGCAGAGGATTCAAGCTCTGGTGCCGGGGTTTAAGTTCAATTTGGGGTTTTCCGGGAAGTATTTTCATCACGGGACAACGGAGGAGAATTTGGGGGACGACATGCTTTTAGAGAACGTAGACAGGTACGAAAAATCCAAATATTTGACTAAAAGTAATCAATGCAATAAATATTACGTTATATACACAATATACGTTATTAATCAATTGAGAGTATTAATGTTATATTATGAATTGATTATATTTGTACAGGATAATTTGATTAATCAGATTTATTGCTGTATTAACAATTACAATTATTGATTCAATTTATTGTTATAAAATATACACTAAATTTACGATCTCATCGACATGGTACAGCTTTTATCGTAAAATGTCACGCGATAGTTTATTACGTATAATGCGTGCCATGATCGCCGCGTAATAAAGCCTTACCGAAACATTGCAAAATCTTGATGTAGATTACCTCGAAATAATTAATCGCGACCGTCAGACACTGAATAATAAAAGATACACAAAATTTTTTCAAATGTTTTGAAACGTCATTTTTTATACAGCATCAATATATTCGATAAAAATAACTGTTAAAAATTTCGCGAAAATAAAACAACGTGGGCTTTTAGATTTATGTGGTTTTCCCACATGTGGAACCACCAACAACCGCATCTGTACGAGAATGTAACTCATCTACAATTGGACATGGCGTTGAACAAGCAATTCGCAAAGGACCACGGTATACCAACCGGAAGCGGGTACAGCGTAAGTCCGCATCACTCCGGCGTTTACCCGGTCCATGAAGGCCTCTACGAAGCGTGGAAACGAGTATGGAACATCAAGGTCACGAGCACCGAAGAGTATCCGCATCTGAGGCCGGCACGTTTAAGACGCGGCTTCATTCATCGTAACATTAAGGTAACGAAATTACATAATCGGCACAATAGTCATTAAATCATCTCTAAATCAAACATTATTTGATAAATATGATATTACATGAGATATAATTTGCATACACGAATATATTGAAAATATTATTTATATTAACTGTGAGTGCGCGCGAGTTAGCGATTAAATATTGCTTTATCCCGCAATTTCCCGAAATATGAAAATCTCAATTTTATTGTGCGTCATAATTTGCATACGTAAATATTAAATACGTAATCGATCATAAAATTCCGTCAATAATTAATTAGATATTTTGTTTACTTATGGATATGAGAAACATGAACATTGTATTATTTTATCAAAGGCAATATGTAAATTGAATCTATATATTGATTTTTCGTGTCCAAATTTAAATTTTTATTTTCAGAATAAATTAAGTTTTATTTTATATTTTATTGAATCTTTCTACACGTATAGATAATAAATTCGATACTTATTGTCGGATATAAAAAACCGTTCATTTTATATATTCAAGGTCCTACCGAGGCAAACTTGTGGCCTTTTTACTCACACGATTTTTATCGAGAGGTATCCAGGCGGAAGGGAAAAGCTGGACGAGTCGATACAGGGCGGTGAACTTTTCCAAACGATCGTATATAATCCGGTGAGTAAATCAACCGTTATGGAATCAATTTTTGTCGGCTTCGTTTGATCTTTCGTATTATAGGTACTCATCTTTTTAATCTCTATATACTTATTCATAGAGCATATTGATACATTTTCTTACCAATTTTTCCCGGCAAGAAATATCTATTCTTGTTTAACTTTTTCTTTTAATTTAGTCGCATTTGCCATATCTTTTATATATCTTTTTTAATATTACATTACATATTTATATTTATAGTATTTATAATGTACAAAATGTACAAAAATTATTGAATATTATAATGTGCAAAAATGATTGAATTACTCGACTGCTTTTTTAGATAAATATTTTTATGACGCATATGTCGAATTATGGAAACGATCGATTGGCTTCGTACACTTTCGAGTCGGTTATAAAATTCATTCAGTGTTGGACGAATTTAAGACTATCCAGTGCACCGCCACTCCAACTTGGGGAACGTTATTTTCAGTTATATCCTGAAGAGGCCGATCCAGTATGGGGAGTGAGTAGATATTTGGATATTTGATAATCTTATATCTGTGCTCTTCTACAACATCAAATTTTTATTATTTGTTACAGAATCCATGCGACGATCAGAGACATCAAAAGATTTGGTCTCGTAATAAAACTTGCGATCAATTGCCGCGATTTCTAGTAATCGGACCTCAAAAAACCGGCACCACGGCATTGTACACGTTTCTATCTATTCATCCAGCAATAAGCAGCAATTTACCGAGTCCCGATACCTTTGAAGAGATACAGTTTTTCAATGGAAAGAATTATTACAAAGGTCTTGATTGGTAAGTGAACAATCGAGAAAATATTGATTCTATCTATTGTTAGATATAAAGAATAAGGAATATATAATTCGCATTATTTTTTCAGGTACATGAGCTTTTTTCCGGCGTCAAAAAATGAGAGTTCTCGATATCTGTTTGAGAAATCTGCTACTTATTTCGATGGAGAATTAGTGCCCCGAAGGACCCACGCGCTTCTTCCGAAAGCTAAACTAATCACTATATTGTTGTCTCCAGCTAGACGTGCTTATTCATGGTACCAGCATACCAGAGTGCACGGAGATCCGGTAGCGAACAATTACTCCTTCCATGAAGTTATTACGGCGAGCGATTCCGCGCCGAAACCCTTGCGGGACCTTAGAAATAGGTAATAATTGAACAATAAGAGAGATATTCGCCTAATAATATATGAATGAATGGCTATTCACTAGAGCATTTGAAGATTAACGAGCAGATTAGCATTAAGATTATGGGATGAGACTGTCAATATTATGAATATATATTTTTGGTTAAATTTTAACAGGATATTGCACTCAATTGCAGGTGTCTAAATCCCGGAAAATACGCCCAGCATTTAGAGAGATGGTTATCGTTTTATTTACCGCAGCAATTACACATCATTGATGGCGAACAATTACGACAAAATCCCGTGGAAACTCTGCACGAACTGCAACGATTTTTGAAGATAACACCAGCGTTTAATTATTCCTCCCATCTAAGATACGACCCGAAAAAGGGTTTCTTTTGCCAAGTAACCAATGAAGATCGCACTAAATGTCTGGGCAAAAGTAAAGGTCGCCAGTATCCACCAATGGAAGATAGATCGTACAAATTATTACAGGTAAAGTATTTTTTGTTCGTGCCATATATAACATATATGATATATCTGACATGTGTTTTAAACGCTGTATTTTTTGCAGAGGTATTATTTATCTCACAACACGGCTTTGGTGAAATTATTAAAGCGACTTGGCTCCAGAACGATCCCGCAGTGGCTGAAGGAAGATCTCACCGACACTGTGATGACCTAGCAAACGCCAATTACGTGAAACTCCAGAGTTTCCCAGCTACTTGCTTCCGCTGTCAGCGAAATACATCGTTTGCTAATGGAAGACCTGTAAATTAATGTACATTGGAAACTCCACTGGATTTTACATTTAATAGAAGAAAGACCATGACTGGCCTATCTCAGTGGATTGGCCTAATCTAATTGGAGGGAGTTTGTAAAAGCTAGTCACTAAGAGGCTTTATGAAGCCACAATTGTAATTGTCGATCATTGTTAAGCTAAAATAACATTATTAATAGATTATTATTTTTTTAATTTTATTACTATTATATTATTACACAATACAACAAACAAAATAATTATTTCCATTAGTTTATTATGAGGCGACTGCCTCTGTAGCATATCATAGTATCAATTATTTGTATCTATTAAATCTTAATTTTTTTTAAATGTAAAGATTGGCCACTTTGAGCCAATCTTTACATTTGAAAAAAATTTAGATTTAATAGATACAAATGATTGATACTATAATGTGTGCTATAGAGGCAGTCACCTCATAATAAACTAATGGAACTTAATAATTATCAAAAAGTTTGATTTTGTTGTAATGTGTTATTATTATTGTCATCATTACCGCATCGTATAAATGAGATATTATAAGAATGTATAGTTCACTGGTGCCGTTGCTCATTTCAGCAATTGTGATTAGGCGCCCCTTTCGTCCTATTTACCAATGCATAAGTTGGGCCAAGAAAAAGCCGACTAATGCAATCATTTTGCATTCGGCTTGAAATTCATTTAAAAAAAGAAAGGTATATCTTACAAAAATGTTACGGACCTGTTTTTAGCAAATTTGTGATACAAAGACAAAGAAAAATTTATATAACAGAAGACAAAATATATATCCATGAACTAGAAATTTATAAAAAAGAGAAATCTGAGTAAATGAATTTTTACTACAATATCAAACGTGATATATGCGTGTTATGTACAAATTATATCGAAGAATACTCTTCAACTATAAACGCAATATTTTAGAAAATTAAAATTCCATTTCCTCAATATTAGACTTGTCCAAATCATGTTTTGAGAAATATATACTTTTCATGTGTAAAGATCATTGGTGAATTGTACTGGGTTTTTTTTATATACATATATCAGGCGGTTCATCGATTGTTCTTTTCGCATTAATCGCCGGAACGTCCATACGAGCGTAGAATTTCAGGGCTGAGCCCATCAACTTTCGGAGATACAGTGTATGCTAAGTCTCGTTGCATATTTAATATCAATGATGATGGCGATAATGACGAGAAGTCTGTATATTTTGACAATACTATTCTTGGTACCGGCGATATGGAAAAGCTAACAAAAGGTGTGTGATCGCGTCCGTTTATATATTGATGTAATTGTATTATTTTGACGTTAAATGTATTATACAAAAAAAGGGCACATGAGACGTATCCGAGATAAATTTCAAAGTTTGCCGATTTCGGATGTAATGGCCCGTTTGCAATAATCAATGCTATCAGAGTCAAAACTCGAATGCGAATATTAGATTGATAAACATGAAAAACTACGCAGATTACCTGCTGACAAATTATATATGAAATTATGCATGTGTCAAGATTTTAAAATTTGTCGCGTGTTGTACTTGAATAAATCGTGGATTTGAAAAGTGTTGTAAAGAATAGCACTAGGTTTGATCTTTCAGCTTAAGTCCAAATAATGTATAACAATTTTTCAAGATTACTTATCAGTATATTTTTTTCACTTTCGAAATATGAATAACCGAATGCATTCTTGTATGTATGTGTGCGTGTATGTGTATATCTAATTGCTCGTTTTGGAGTGATGTTCATGCAAAATATCTATTTTATTGTACCTCAAAAGAACATAGATTGAAAATCAGTCCAACGAGATTTTGCTGATTGAGAAGAATGCTAATGAGATCTGGTTTATATTGCATATATCTTTTTTTTTGTTATTTATTGGTCATATATACGTATGTATATTATCTCCAATGCAAACTATATGTACAAATATTTTTAATAATATTGACTGTGTATCTATGACTATCTAATTGTACATTGTAAAGAGTTGATGTGTGGAATTTTGAGAATCTGATGAGATAGTTACCTGTATTATAATACCTGCTTGCCACACTTTTTATATTGAAAAGTGTATAAATATTGTATGGCCCATTAGGAAAATAGTCTTGGTCCAAGACGAGCAATCTAAGGTCAAGTGAAGAAAATATTTCATTGTGATTTTAGTATCATAACAGTTATTTCACATTACGAATGTTTCTGGTGATTTTGTTTGATGATCTCTGTATCGGAGTTACACATATGAATCATGTTAGATAATTTTCTATATATAAATCTTTTGTTACGTTTGTATGATTTGTTTTCATTTTTATACTGCCGTTGAAACTATGCCATAACGTTTAACGAATCATATGTACAAAGTTTATTATTAATATTATAATAGTAGTTGATAATAAGAGCGAAATAATATCAATTGATTGATCTGTTTTATCAAATCGTGCCATTTTACCAGTGTTGTATATATATGATTATATCATCGTATCAATCATGTTGGATTTTTAGAGTCAATATCCTTAATCTTTTTTTGTACGGCGGTAGCAACGACTGTCCGGCTTGCTACTACCTGACAATAACTTGACGGCAAACAGAGGTAGATGATAATCCCGCGAAATTTATCAGAATTTCACAGAAGTGTAAGCATTATCTCATCATTGATTTCACGTTTCCTATAATTATTTTTTCTACTCCTTATCTTACATATGAACTTTTTCTATCTTTCTATTTTGCACATTCTATATAGCTTTTTTATTTTTCTATTTTCGAAATTTTCATATTGAAATATATTATAAATATATTATACATTATAAATATATTATATACAGCATATTAGTATCAAATTATATATACATGTTGAAAATTTATATAATATATAAATACTAGCATATATATTGGTTTTGTTATTATTTTAAATGATTTAATTAAATTACGAATATTTGGAATTTTAGTTTTATATCAAATACTGATTATAAATCAATGATAGTGTACTGCTAACTGCTTCCAAATTTCGTGGGTGCAATCGTTTGCGTATAAATGCGCACAGAAATAACAAGCATTCTGTAAATATTTTGTTCCAATAGAAACTGTCACGCAGAAAGAGAAATGCCATTCGTACGATAAAGAAAACTGCGCGTAGAATGTATGTATGATACTTTAAGAAACATGAACTTTAATTATTTAACTTATAATTATTCTATTGTAAAATATTGTAATAATTGTATGAATAGCTTATAAGTTCTAATAAAAGAAGCACTGAAAATTCTAGACTAGACAGTTTTGTAACAATGATATTGAAAAATGCTATACAATATATAATACATTTTTTCTAATACACACTCACACACTTCAAATATCATATCTTCCTTAATTTTAATATAATTTTATTTATAATTACTTTATATGATATACACACTCGATTCCCTTTATTCTCTTTTCAGGTACACATCCGATATATATATAATTTTTTTTACTATTCTGTGTATATTAATCCTATTCTAAATATATAGAATTAGAATAATTTAGGTATAGCAAATGCAGAAACAGTTCTATTTCTTGTGTACGAAACTATTTTCTCAAAGCTATATACAATATTCTCTGAATGTCAGCTCCTTTGATAATTTTATCACGTTGACGTTTCATGAAGATACCTACTGCGCGTTTGAACCAAATTTTATTAGCGAGAAACATAATTAATTTACACTATAAATTAATGAATCATTGTTTATTGCGATATCTTTTGTGGATTCGCGCGCGTTCAATTCTGGCGTCTTTTCAAAGATAGTGTCTTCATCACACGAATCGCTGGATGAAGAATCTACGCGTTTCGGTTCCAAACGATTTTCACGTCTTCTTTGATAAATTCATGATATAAATTTGTCAGTTTTACGGTTCTCCGAAGCTGATAATTCGACTCGTTCAAATTCTTTGGTTTTGCAGCTCTCGTATTAAAATTTTCCGTCAAAATTAAACTTTTATCATTAACATTATAATCTTCAATTTTATGTCGAACGTTACCCTCTTTGATTTCAAATTCTTTCAAGATCTCCTCATCTATTTCTTCAATAGGATCTAAAATATATTTTATTTCTTTGCCAAAAAATTGTCTTCTTCCAATTTCCAAAAGATCATTGTTAATCGATTCACCAGTACCACCTTGGTCCTCTATCAACGCAGGTGTAAATCCAGACAAAGTATGCACTTGTCTTGCTTTCTTTACTCTTGCTTCTATATAAATATATCATTTCTCTTATCAAGGAAACTACAAACTAATTCTTAAAACTACATGTCTGTAGATTTCATTTTTAATTTCGATTTTATATCAGTTTTGAAATAATTATTAAAAAATATTTTTTTTTTAATTTGCAATAAATGGAAAGAACGAGAGAGAATTAAATAAATCGTGTAAAAATTTTTAAGCAAAGAATTATAATTGTAAGAAGACTGAATTGATGTCAAATAATTCAAAATGATGAAGAGGAACGCGAATATATAACTTTATACTTTGCAAGTATCACCAACCTGGTACTTGAACTTTCATAACTTCATCATCAATCTTAACATTTACATTTGGTTTCCTCTCGATAGATCTCCCTTCTTCAAGTTCGTCTATCTCTTTTTGATACTTCCAAGATCTAGAACCAACACTTGGCCCATGTTTTGGATCGGAGATCGAGCTAGGTTGCAAATAGAGGCATCCGCTATCAGGAAAGAAAAGTCTTTGCAGAAACGATCTCGGTGGACCTCTGCCGATGGCAGCATTAGCTCGTGCATGATTGAAACATTCCGATCTATTACGAAGTATTCCGCAGCATTCCAGGATGCCGAAGACCAGCAACATCGCCGTAGCAACCAGAGCCAATAACGCGACCAAGCAAATTAATTGCCAGGAGAAACTCAATAGTATCGTCACGGTATCTTCGTCGGTGCTTGCAAGACAGAGAGGAGCCAACGCGCTACCGAGAATCGCGCAAACAAGGTGTATAGCTATAATATTGCAGTAATCCTCCAGAGCGCTGCGAAAGACCTGTTTGGAGGTCAAATAGAAGGCAATACCACCCAGACAACCCAAGACAATAGCTATTTGCGGCGAATAATCGTTCGCCGCAGCCGATACTATCACTACACCGGCGATTGTGCCTTGAACACATCTCATCACCGTCCAATGATTGAAGGCTTCTCGGCTGAATGTGAAATGCAGAGCGACGACCAACAGGGTACACGAGGACGCGGCTAGCAAATTATTGACATACGCGTACGATGGATCTTGCATATAGATTCGGAGTTTGTCACGGTCCTGCGTATTCATGCATAAGCCCTGTAAACGTTCAGAACATCACTGAATGGTACAGTTAGCATTTGCATAAGTAGAGGTTTCTATATACGGAATTCAAAGACCGATGCTTAGAAAGCATTACAAAGAGCTTTTAAGTTCAAGATTCGCGACAGTACCGTGAAGTTCGAAGTCTTCGTAGAATTCTAAAAATATGTTTATCTCCCAGTTTCATAATTAATAGTATATATTTTATATTAATTGTTAAAAAAAATATGAAAACTAATTTTTTATTAAATCACGATGACAACTAAGAAAAATTCTATTCAGTTCAAAGTAGATGTTTACTTGAAGTCCGGCAAATATTAATAGGAGACCTCCGAAAACTGTCCCAGGGGAACCGGCGGTGATACTCGCATCATCCAGATCTCTCAATATGAGTATTCTTCTGCCGAGAACGAGACATCCAATCAGACCTGAAAATCCTCCGACGACGTGGACTACTCCAGCACCAGCGTAATCCTTGAAAGTGACTATTCTTCCGCCCAATTCGTTCTCCGCCATCCATCCTTGAGCGGTCCAGGCCCAGTGGATCAGCAGCGGTTGTATCAGACCGGCTAAGAGAATATTCACCAGCAGATATCCCACTGTGTGCATTCTGCCCACGATAACACCGGTGCAGATCGCCGATGCGATCACCACCGCTTGCCAGCCGATGATCGCTTCGTTTTTGTCGATCGTGGGATCACCGATCCAGTGACCTTCGCCGATCAAACCAGCCACGTCGCCGTTGTAGGCGACGAGGAAACCAGTGAGGAAGTACATCACGGTGACGCAACACAGATCGACCAGATTTTGAAGGAGTATCAGATTAACGTTGTTGATCGGCACGCTGCCAATTTGCACGAGGACGAAGCCGATGCGCAACAGGATCGTCAGGACGAGACGGGTTAATGAATTCCAGTGGAGATGCGTCGTTGGAACGGTGTAATTATTGAATGAACGTGGATGAATGGCATAATCGTAGTAATTCTCGATGTAATAATCGTCTCTAGTGACGGATGACATTTTTTCCTCCGGAAATTGAATCTTTCGTATAGTTGTCACGTTATCACATCGTTCACCATGATCGAGGTAAGTTTTAAAATTTTACACATATTTTGTATACAAGAAGAGAGATGTTTCCTGATGAAAAAAGGTTACTATATTTGATAAAAACTTGAACGAAGTTGTACATTTATGCATTTCGATTATCCAATGTTTTATTAAATCGATTAAAGATAGATTCGTTACCTTAAAATGTATAGACTAGAATTAAATCATTCTTACTTAGATTGGACTTTGGATAAATGACTTTAATATACATAATTAAAGCATATTGCATAAGTGTAAATTAAAATATAAATTAAAGAACGATATAAAAAATCAATTCAGATTTCACTTATTTGTTTTATTTAAAACCGCGCTTGTGATTTTATTTATTGTACATATTAACAATTGCATTATATATAAAAATAATTTATTCTTTTAACAAACGTTGATTGTTCTAATTTTTTGTAACATAACGTCGAGTCATTGATATCAAAATTGGTTTTATATATATTTTTCTAACAATATATATATAAATTTAACGATGTATGACAAATCGTGATTTCTTATGGTCATATCCGAGTGTAAAATTACACTCATGCACTGGCGGTAATGATAATTATAGCCGGAAACGGAAGGAATCTCTCTCCTTCATTGATATCTCTGATAGAGATTAAAGTTACACTGACTAGATGTAGCCAGAATGATTGTGGCCAATAAAGGTAAGTCCACTGGCCTAAAAAATAATTAATTTAATCATATAAATTACGCTATAACGGATTTAAATTGTTCAAATAAATACGCCAAATTAATTCACATACACAATACTGTATTCGTTTTATACTTTTTGATACTTTTTATACAAATTTTGAATCATAGAATAAATTAACTATATTCTTAAAAAGTTATTAGATTTCAAGGAATAATGTACGAAACGAATATTATGAAACATTACGAAAAATATTTATAACTTTATAAAATAATTTTTTCATATTCAGTTTTTTTCGGTATGTTTAAAGTTAGCATTTTATTTTGTGAAAATTCATAAATAATTAAGAATTCTGACTTTATTTACTCTAGACTGTGCACTGCGTTCGAAAATATGTTAACTTAGAGTCAATTGGGCTCCGACCAATCGGAGCCCGAGGATCTCTATTCTGATTGGCCGGGCGAGCTTCATCCTAGAGAAGAATAGAGTTGCGGATCCAATCTAGGTTGCTAACCACTGGTTCGCCGCGCCACCGCGCATGCGCACACATCCCCACCACTCCTACTTGCTTCTTCCTGCAGCAAAGCTTCGGTTTGGGACTGATGCTTGCGTGCTTTTTTGCCGGTCCGGGTCGCGACAGTATACGAGTGCGAATGTTAACAGTGTCGAGTATCTTTATATGGTTAATCGTCGCAAGTCCGATCGCGCGTCTCTGGTCGTATTTCCGTGCCGTCGTGTCGAAGGTCGTTGGGCGCCATGAAAAGCTCGTAATCAAGTACGTCGCGACGCGCCGCCATGTTGCTCGGCATCGTACGTTGGGCCTCTGCCGTGAACCATCGAGTCGGAAATACTCGGCAAAGAGCGAGAAATACATATATTCATTGTTCATTATCGAAATACGCGACGACCGCGAGTGTATATAGTGCTCGAGAAATGCTCCTTTCGCCGGATTCTCGCTCGAGGAGCTGAAATGGTGCAACCGCGAAATGGTGCCGTATGCATTCACGAAATGGTGTCGTGTGCAAGGTGCTCGGACGATTTCCGACATTCGCCGGTAGTCATTTCGATTCTTATCTATCGAATTTCGGCGACATTTCGACGCTCCGTTGTTCGGAGTTATCGCGCGTGGAAGCTCCTGCGCGATTTCCGCGGTTTCTTCGTCGTCAAATAGTGAGTGGAAAAATATAGTGAAGTGCCCAAATCTGGAATAAGTGAGATATAAAATATATAATAAAGTGCAGTGGCTAATTTTGGAATATCAGCGAAAATATAGTGAAGTGCCCAAATTTGGAATAAGTGAGATATAAAATATATAATCAAGTGCAGTGGCCAATTTTGGAATATTAGTGACCTCTAGTGCGTCGCGAGGGAATTAGCTGTCGTCGTTTGATGAGACCCTCCGATAGGTGGCTCTTGAAGTAAGTGGCGACGCGAAAATGGAGCATCGTGCGCGAATAAGCTCTCGCGATTCTCTTTTCCCGAAAATGTGATAATAAAAACCCGGACGTCGCCGCTCGTCGCGATCGAAAAAAACAAGTAACGCGAGTGCAAGCGTTTTAAAGTTTCTTCTGAGAGGAGAAGAAGGCCCGAAGTGGCATCGGGTAACGGCAAAGGTACTACATGGTAAATAATTTATTTTTTATTATTACTATTTTTACTGTTAAACTGAGTGTAAGTTCCACTTGCGTGTGTCGTCGTGTCATTGTTCTCTGTGTTCAAGATAGAGACCAGAGATAACACAAATAATCGAATTCGCTTTTGTGATTATTTAAATTTCATTGTTAACTATTCGTAAGTGTATCTGAGAAATCATTTATCCAAATAAATCGCGTGATTTATATACATACTTAATATACTTAAATTAAGTTAGGTAAAAGTTTAAAATATCGGAGCGAGATGAAAATTTGATTGTTATATTATAATGTGATATTTATAGACAGTTATTTTTTTAACAATGCTTTTTGAACAAAATTTTTTAAACAATTAATTTGCTCGAAAAATTAACTCTTTCGAATTTAAAAATGTGCTACCAGTTGATTTTCAACAGTTCTATTTTTTTCAAAACAATTTTTATATAGTTTTTAACCTTTCCAAAATTATTTTTTTTCTAAAGCCGTGACACAATTTTTTTAGTTATCAAAACTTTTCAGGAAGCCAATTTGCAGAGATCTAAACAATTGCTTTAAAATAAGAACTTAAAAATCGAATGATATTCATTTAAAATATAAGCATATTTTTCGGGCAAAATAATTATGTAAAAAATTCCTAAAAGTTTTAATTCTCAGAACAATGAGTTTGTAGTTGTGTTAGTAGTAATTTGCATTTTGTTATTAGTTGTACAATTTAAAATTTGCAATTGTTTAAAAAGATGGTCAATAGCCAAATTTGTCAATCATGAAGATTTTTCAAATCTTCCTTTTCCATGTGATTCCGATTCGTTTGTAATTGTTTGAAACAATCGCAATCAAAATTTATATTCAAAAAAGCAGATTTTAAAAAATCTTCAAATTTGACGAATATCAGTTAAAACAACTATGTTAAACTATTGCAATTTCTAAACTGTGCAAATAAAAACAAAACGAAAATCACTTTAAACAACTGTAAACAATTCTATATAAAACTGCGTATTTAAATTTGCGTTATTTTTAATTTGAGAAAAAACTTCAACTTTTAACTTTTCCACTGACAACGCGAACGATCGACGTACTATCATTTTCGGTATTAAAAAAATTAAATTCTTATAGTCAGTTGTCAGATTAACATTAATATATATTAAAAACACAATTTCAAGTGCGTTCAAAGCCTTTAAGCGAAGATAGATTCATTTCGATGTTGAAGCTAAAAATTTAAAAAGTGACAATCTATAAAATATTTCAAATATACATGCTCAGTCGTGTTTATAATCGTTTCTTGTGGTTGGGGACATTCGCCTACGAATGTTACATCGATGTACAAAGCAGAATTTAAAAATCTTGAAATTTGAAAAAATTCATCTGTGATAGTTTTGTTTAAACTGCTGTATTTTTTAAAGTGTGCGACTTAAAGCGAAACGAAATTCAGTTCACACATCTATAAACGATTCTTAATAAGACTGCTGATTTGGATTTGCGTTATTTTCAATTTGAAAAAATTAATTTTGACAGTTTTGTTTAAACTGCTGTATTTTTTAAAGTGTGCGACTTAAAGCAAAACGAAATTCGTTTCACAAAACTATAAACGATTCTTAATAAGACTGCTGATTTGGATTTGCGTTATTTTCAATTTGAAAAAATTAATTTTTGACAGTTTTGTTTAAACTGCTGTATTTTTTAAAGTGTGCGACTTAAAGCAAAACGAAATTCATTTCACAAATCTATAAACGATTCTTAATAAGACTGCTGATTTGGATTTGCGTTATTTTCAATTTGAAAAAATTAATTTTTGACAGTTTTGTTTAAACTGCTGTATTTTTTAAAGTGTGCGACTTAAAGCAAAACGAAATTCATTTCACAAATCTATAAACGATTCTTAATAAGATGCTGATTTGGATTTGCGTTATTTTCAATTTGAAAAAATTAATTTTTGACAGTTTTGTTTAAACTGCTGTATTTTTTAAAGTGTGCGACTTAAAGCGAAACGAAATTCAGTTCACACATCTATAAACGATTCTTAATAAGACTGCTGATTTGGATTTGCGTTATTTTCAATTTGAAAAAATTCATTTTTCACAGTTTTGTTTAAACTGCTGTATTTTTTAAAGTGTGCGACTTAAAGCGAAACGAAATTCAGTTCACACATCTATAAACGATTCTTAATAAGACTGCTGATTTGGATTTGCGTTATTTTCAATTTGAAAAAATTAATTTTTGACAGTTTTGTTTAAACTGCTGTATTTTTTAAAGTGTGCGACTTAAAGCAAAACGAAATTCATTTCACAAAACTATAAACGATTCTTAATAAGACTGCTGATTTGGATTTGCGTTATTTTCAATTTGAAAAAATTCATTTTTGACAGTTTTGTTTAAACTGCTGTATTTTTTAAAGTGTGCGACTTAAAGCAAAACGAAATTCAGTTCACAAAACTATAAACGATTCTTAATAAGATGCTGATTTGGATTTGCGTTATTTTCAATTTGAAAAAATTAATTTTTGACAGTTTTGTTTAAACTGCTGTATTTTTTAAAGTGTGCGACTTAAAGCGAAACGAAATTCATTTCACAAAACTATAAACGATTCTTAATAAGACTGCTGATTTGGATTTGCGTTATTTTCAATTTGAAAAAATTCATTTTTGACAATTTGTTTAAACTGCTGTATTTTTTAAAGTGTGCGACTTAAAGCGAAACGAAATTCGTTCACACTCTAT